AGTTACAAGCTGTTTTTTTTTTCTGAGGGGAGACAGTGTCCACCATATTTTGGGGTATGTTTCTTCCCAGTCGGAACGTGTTGTGTTATGCATTCCATTCTGGGTAAGAGCTCCAACTGTTTTTTTTCCCCTACCTTTCCTTATGCGTCTTTCATATACAGGGGAATGTGTAGAAAGGGACCTCAGAAAGACACAGAATAACAAAATAACCCAAAACAACAGGGGGAAAAACAAACAAAATATCCGCGGGTTTTTTTCTGTGGACCTCAGGCACTTCTTACAATAGTTGTTGTATCTGGGGGAAACTGTACTTGTATTTATATTATGTTTAAAAGGTGTCGTATCAAAATGAAGACTCAAAGGTCAGATGAATACTGTACTAGGAAGAATCAATCTTTTACACTGTGATTTCTGACATAAGGAAAGCCTTTTCCTGGTCGTTCAACCTATCGAAATAATTGTTTCAGTGTAAATGTGTATAAACTATAGGAACCAGAGAATTATTTGTCTTCTCATGGATGGAAATTACCCAGTAAAGTCTGGAAACTTTTCTTTTCTCAGTATTCCTGCCTCTGTAGGTGTTTCAACGGCTTAATGATGTAGCCCTGCTTTGCTCTCATCCAGTTCAAAACCACTGTTGAGAATAGATGACTATCGGGAACACAGATGCACTAGAAAAATTTGGAGCAAAGGAAAGCTGGGTCGGAGAACAGGGGCAGGAGCCAAGGCAGATGTACCTTTTTCCTTCTTTCGTTACTCACAAGCTTTTTCCCCTGTAGAGTGTGGGGAGACAAGGAGATGATTCTGGCCAGGTTCACTGCAGGTGTTTCCCGCCTCGTGGTCAGTTGTTGTGCACTCAGTGAGGAGTGACCAGGTGACCTAAAACAGGTCAGTGTGAGAGAGAATGGATTTTGAGCGGTAGGAAGCCTCATCCGGGACGTTGCTAACAGGAAGGTCTTGCAGGGACAGATAACAGAGCGCGTGGCAGGTTCCTCAGCCACCCAGTTACTCGGGAGATAAGGGATTGGGGTGCTTAGGGCTGTCACTTTCGGTGCAGCGACCCTACTTTCATCCGCCTTTAAATGTCTGTTCTCGGTCACTGCTGGGAGGGTAGTTAATTTAACTTAGGCCGTGTTGATTGATAACTGAAAAATTTAAAGCAAAGATCCCGCCGCTTCAGTTCATGAGAGAGAATGCTCTGCTTCTCCGGTGGCAGGTGCGTGTGATCATCCCATGTTGTATCTCAGAGCCTCTATTCTTTTGCTCTCCCCGTGCCAGTGATGGACTGAAGAAAAGCCGAGGCAGGAGGTCCCCGCTGCACGGGACCCCATGTTTCCGTGGCGACTGTTCCGTTCCGGCAAGCTGCTCGTGGTCAAGGGCAGTGGAATGACTGACTCCGCCGCTGCCCGACATTAAATGTCTAATCTTAGTCAATGATCATGGTGTAGTTAATTTAGAGCGTGTTTCGTGTGAATTGAAGTATTTAAAGCAAAGTTCCACCCGGTTGGGTTAATGAGCCTGATATCTCTCATTTTCAGGAATGCGGGGCTGTGTGTATCGTTAGCTCATTTCCTACCCAGTGCTTGTTTTCCTTTGTTATCCTTGTACCAGACATTCAAGCACGACACAGAAGAACACCCCAAACAAAGTGCTGGAGAACTAACAATATTCTATACGTTAAATAATAGAAAGAAATTATTTTACTTTACATATAAATAACCATTAGCAAGACATTTTCCCCGTGTGGTAGAAATACTAAGCACACGGGAGTACTTTGCCTTCGCATCGGTAGTGATCGAAGAAGAGATAGGCTGGAGAAACGAAAAGGCAGGAAAGCCCGGCTACGTGGGATGCGAATTCGGTGCTCTCCCCGCGAGCTGCCCGTGGATAAGGCAGTGCGGGCGGCGCTCGGTGCGTGCAGTGCCGGGAGGAGGCTGCGGGCGCCGCTGTTGACCGAGAGGAGCGAGAGGAAGGTCGGAGCGCTGCAGCCCCGCCCGCTGCGGCCCGGCTCGATCGCTGGATTCCCGGATCGGCAGCCGGATTGCGGTCTGCGATTGTCCCTGCGGAGCAGATCCCTGCTGAAGAAGGCGGTGGGTCTGGCGGCAGCGGCTGGGAGCGGCAAGTCGTTGCCAGAGCGGGAGAAGAATCAGCGGTCGGTGGCCGGGATCTGCCGGCGGTGTTGCGGTGCCGGCGGTGCGGCGGCGGAGATGTGCGCGGCGGGGAGGCGCTGGGGCCGGCGGCAGCGAGTGCTGCTCTGGGGCGTCCTGCTGGCGGCCTGGGAGGCGGCGTGGGGGCAGCTGCGCTACTCGGTGCCCGAGGAGATGCCCAAGGGCTCGTTCGTGGGCGACGTGGCCAAAGACCTGGGGCTGCAGATGCCGGCGCTCCGAGAGAGCAGCGTCCGCATTGCCTCTGAAGGTAGGACGCAGTATTTCGCTCTGCACGGGAAGACGGGACACTTAGTGACGGCCGAGAGGATCGACAGAGAGCAGCTGTGCCGGCTGGTGGAGCAATGCGTGCTGCGCTGTGAGCTGATAGTGGAGGGGGAAATGAAGGTTTATGAAATTGAAGTAGAAATCACGGACATTAACGACAATGCGCCCAACTTCAAAGAAATCGAATTGGAGGAGAGGATAAGCGAGACGACAGCCCCAGGATCGCGGTTTCCCCTCCCAGACGCTCACGACTTGGACTCGGGACGGAATTCCCTGCAGAGCTACGAGCTGAGCGGCGACGAGCACTTCTCGCTGGCCGTGCAGACGGGCCCCGGCAGGGATCAGCGTCCCGAGCTGGTGCTGGCGAAGGCGCTGGACCGGGAGGAGGCGGCGTTCCACGAGCTGGTGCTGAGGGCGAGCGACGGCGGCGACCCGGCCCGGACGGGCACGGTGCGGATCCGCGTGACGGTGCTGGACGCAAAC